TTTACAACCCTTTTGTAAAGTTTGAAAAAAAAAAAAAAAAAAAAGGGGGTTTTATTATAAGATTTCATCTATTTCTAAAAGAAAGATACCACACTGTAAATATTGTACAAAAATTTAAATGAATTTAAAAAATAAAAAACATGGAAAAAATCTTTCAACTTCCACACATTTTATAAGAATCTTCCACCATTCGCTTAAAAGTAAAGTTTTGCCATTGCTTGAAGAAATTTCTTTTTTCTTCTCTGTGCAGCAAGTTGTAAGACTTCCTCAGGATTACTAGCATTCAGCTCTGTCTGACCAATAGCTTTAATCTGGAAATGAAAAAAGGAGACAGCACTAGCAGAAGTCATTCTAGCAAAGCTATCCCATTACAAGACTTTCTCAGCATTAGCTCAAGACGACGTGATGTTATTTCCATAACGTGCTATGCTAGCCTGTCCCTAAACCATCTGATTACAAATTTACATCAGCATCCACATCCTAGTAGAAGTAAGTCACACAAGAATGTAAAACTGAAAGTGGCAAGTCTTTTCAAAGAGAGGGGCTTGAGGGAGGGAAAGAAACACTTAAAAAGACATCCCACTACACCTAAAGCATTCTGTTTCAACTTACTGCTATCTGTCTCTTGTCCGTCTCGCCTCGTTTATGGTGGAGATCTGAAGAAAAGTCAAGGAAAGATACATGCGAAGGAAAACAATAGCACCTAACTTTGAGATCCTACCTCATTTATAAATAAGGAAGCATTGCTACACAATATTTAGGCAAAGTAGTTCCCATGGTAGGAATGACACAGGTGACAACAGGCAAGACTGACTTTTTCTAAACGTGAACATCCCATATAAATTATTTCTGCAGAAACTGCTAGTGAAAGGATACATGTCAAATACTCCAAAATTGTGACATCCCAGATATAGTCATAATAAGAATCCATAGCATCATGACTGAAAGAGAATACTGGTTAGATTATTTAACACATTTACATATAAGCATCATGTATACAGTATGTACACAACATGCAGATTATAATGTATGCAATAAATATACATCTGTACAATAATTTTTGTTGCAATATTTACCTGTTTTGCTCCTGCAGTGCCTTAAATGCGGTTTTATAGTCTACCTCTCTGAGGAACTGGCATAAAATAGCTACCTATAAGGAAAGTTTCTAGACTTAGGAACTTTTAAGTATTGAAACATCAAGAGCATACATAACACATGCTAAACTAATTTCAACAGCTAAAACAAGGGGAAAGTTTTACTCATGTGAGGAGACTGACCCAGAGCCTAATAAATATTTAGAAAACTAGGAGCTGATTTAATGTAAATCTTGCTCCTTGGGGAATGAACAATCCCACTGAATAAAGCCACATTCCCAACATCACCCTACAGATACAGCGTTCTCTTTCAACTTCTAGGGTGTGACTTATTTTGTAGAGGAAATGCCACAACAAAAAACAAACAAAAAAACCCCCCAAAACCCTAATTCTACCTTTACAATGTTTCAAAACGTAAGTTTATTTTCTTGTTAATTCAGGTCAAATTAGTGCCCTAGGAACAACAACAACAACAAGCTATCTTTTGTTTTAAATCGCAGATTGAATCTAGAAGGCAAGATGGATTTAGCTTTACTTTTTAAAAATTCCCTTTTAAAAAAAATATTTGAAAGGCTGTTTTAGTTAATGCTATGTTTCAGCTCTCACCTGGGTGTGACAGTTGAGTAAAGAGCAACACTTTATCATTCTCTTTATCACCTATAGAGCAGTTAAAAAAAAGAAAAACAACTTTAAGAGAGCTAGTATTGGAACACAAACAACAACATTTTCCCCCTCCCCCCCTTCTTTTTTTTAAAACAAGGGACCAGCTTAATAAGTGAACCTACATTCTCATAACTGGAAAAAAAAAATCACAGAATTTGTTTTTTTTAGCACAGTAGATTTATCAACCGAGCTTTTATCACTTTAGGAAAATACAGAAGAGCATGATAGGTGTTTTACAGAACAAAGCTTTACAGATATCGTTTCTGGTAAAAGAGCAGCGCTGTGGCCTAATAAAAAGCTTTGCTTTCCTCCCATCCACCGAAAAGCCAACAGCCTGACTTAGAACAGAAAAGCAAGCGGGCTTCGGACAAATGCTCTAGCACCAAGCCAAACGCAGGCTGGCAAGCAGGAGAAGGCACAGGGGAAGGCGCAGGGGCCACCTGGCACTCCTGGACCACTAGCCTGGCACAAGGCACAGCTCAGACCAGGCCCTGAACGTTCAAAATCACAGAAGAAACGTCTGAAGCTCTCGTTTCTTATGTCCATGTGAAAAATAACTGGACAGGGTAAGAAAATAACCTCCTTCCCTGAGTCTATGCAGTCATGACAAGCAGTATATTCCTACTGTCTACTGAAATGCTGCCTACAAGTAAATGCTATGGCTTCCTGATGAGTAAGACAACTGACAAATAATTTGTTATACCAACTTTAATGGAGTCAGATGCAAAGTCACAGGAACATGCTATTTAGAGTGCCATATCTCTGGCATACTCTGACAGCGGCAAGTTACAATCCTACACATATCTAAATAACCCCACACAATGCTGCAAACACAGCTCTGTTCATCAGAGTCTGGAAAAAAGATTCAAGTGTGTCAGTGTGGGAACTAAATAATGTTTAATAGAAAAAATTATCGTTACGCTAAGCATCACACAGGGGGCCAACGCCGTCTTAACCTCACTACTAACATAATCCATACTCATTTGTGCTAGGTATAGCAGGCAGTATTTTAGAAATGCTTAGACAGTACAGTGAGGAAGCAGTAATGTTTGTCTGCATCAGGGGTGCAAGCAAGCAGGCTCCATGCTGGCATCGCATAGATGAAGCCCAGCGGGAAACCCAGGGCAGACATCTCAGCTGGCTGCGTGCGCAGGTCGGCACGGCCAGTGAGCCCTACAGCACGCTTGGCGGGGAACAGCGGGCGCAGTCGTGCTATCCCAAGCTGGTGTGCCCGCCCGACACTTCGCAGCTTGGTGCGGCGCCACAGGGACAAGCTCAGGGATCGCCCTCCACGTTTCATTCCACAGGGTATACACACGCTCTTGGCTTTTTAACTTGCTCACTACCACGCTAAAGTCCATTATCAGTTATTTCTCAGTTCATAGCTCTGTACACTCTATCTCTACAAGTTAATACAAAAGCCTTCTGTGCTTCAGCCAAGTAGAAGCTGTGGATTTTCCGTGACCTCCAAGCAACAAAGAAAACAGATCTGTGTGGATTCGTATCCTTAAATGAGTCAGTTAAATATACACACTTCTGTAGCTTTTAAGTTTAAAAAAAAACAAAACAAAACAAAAACCTTTGTTTAGCAGTGTTATGCCTCCAGAGCATTAGGATGCTGACTAAATCCAGAAGGATCTTTTTGTATATCTAAATCACATTTAACAGATTATCTCACCTGGTCTGTGTATACATCTGGTGGCACCGTTTTATTAAAGAAATCTGAGCATACAGCTCCTGCCTGTAGATAATAGTGAAGGGCTGCTGAATATTGATTTGTGGCTGTAGTGGAAAAAAAGCATAACAAAGACTTAAGAGTAAAAACACAGTAGTTATTTCTAGGATTCAGATGAATTGTTTTTAGAATTATTCAGATCCAAACATCTTAGAGTTGAATTCTACTTGGAAAATGACTTGCATATTTTAAAAAGCACATACACACAGGAGATGGTAAAACAGTGATACACAAAACTACGCAATCAGAAAAACTAGCAATAAAGGTGAAGTTGTGACTTTTGAGAATCACCATTATTTTTTTAAATATATTTTTTACTTTTCAGGTACTTGACCTTCCACACTTTAAGGCTGACAGATTTAAAAGGAGTTTGTTTTCATTGAACTTGGCACATGGATGGTAGTGAAGGAGTTTAGCTGGTTTGAGTTAGGGCCAGTTGATGCCACCACACAAAACTCATGGCTCAGCACTAGTTTCCTCCCAGCAAGTTCTTACCAAACCAACCCTCCGGCAGCCTTCAGGGGCTCTGCAGTTAGAGCAGTCTGCCTGTTCCCATAGGTGCTCAAATACAGACCTGCTATATGCTGAGAGTTCTAATCATGGCACTTGCTGGTATCAGCCTCTGAGGCTCCCCACACATACAACCCTCTTCCAGAAGAGGTTCTACTTTGTTCAAGTAAACACTGTCAGTTCATGACCTTGAATCAACTCTCCCATATCCAAGGTGAGAGCCCTAAACACTGGGCTACACAGTCTTTCCCTCCTCTGAGGGCTATAAGGCATGTTCTAAACAAATCTGTCCCCTTTTGAAGCAACAGACTAGAATTCTTGCACTGCGTCTCACTGCTCAACACAGACAACGTTCCAGGCCAGAAGAAGAGATTTGAAAACTTACGTCTCCTCCTGTGAGAGTCTAAAGCACCCACAAATGGATGGCTGAGGGAGAGCACACACCCTGTTCTATAGTCACAAAGGAATAATTCGGCTTAGACGCTACATTCCACCAGAATGGTCTTTACAGAGAAATTAGGCACAAGAAATGCCCACGTACCTTTGAGGACTGCTATGACCATATCCCTCCCTTCAGCACATATAGCGGGTAGTACCATGCTTGTCTGGCTGATCTCCAACTATCCCATTCTTCAGCACCTAACTCTCTCGACACACTATAAAGCGAGCCTCAAGGACTGACTCTAGGCTGGGGATTAAGTTTAACAAAGCTGTGCTGTATCATACAGGCTGTGCAAGATGTACCCAGTCACCTGGACCAGTTTGGCTGCGTGTCACAGCGTCCAGAATTTGCATCGCTTTATGGCCCAGTTCTGCTGGCTGGTCCCAGCTGATGAGGAAAGGATAAGCATTGGGGAAATGACAGAGGAGGGTCGAAAGACCAGGAAGACCCCAACCAATACTGAATCAGGAGTTCACGCTCCCTCATTTACAAATCCTAGA